AAAACAAATTCAAGACAAGTTATAGATATAAAAGTGAAGAGGATATAGGGCTATACCTTGATGATCTCAGGGGAGGCAAAAACTTGATAGACAAAAAGATGCACCCAACCACACAGGAAAAAAATATATATAAACTGGACTACTAAAATGAAGAATTTCTATTCATCAAAAACCATTATTAACACTTTTGGGGGGTACAGGTTTAAAAAAGCACCATCAAGAGGACTAAAAAACAATCTACTGGGAAAGTACTGGCCAGATATATATATATCTGACAAAGGACCTTATACAGTACATATTTTTTAAAGCCTACAAATCAGTAAGAAAAAGGCAGATATTACCCAATAGAAAATGGGCAAAAGACTTGAACAGGCACTATCTAAATAGCCAATAAATACAAGAAATGCTTCTCCATTTCATTAGTCATTATGGAAACATAAATTAAAACCATAATGCGGGCTGGGTCATGCCTGTATATAATCCTAGTACTCTGGGAGGCCAAGGTGGGTAGATCACTTGAACTCAAGAATTCAAGACCAGACTGAGCAAGAGTAAGACCCTATCTCTACTAAAAATACAAAAATTAGCCAGGTGTCATGGCATTGCCTACAGTCCCAGCTACTTAAAAGACTGAGGCAGGAGGAGTTTGAAGTTGCTATATCTAAACCCAGTAGTCTGAGGTTGCTGTGGGCTAGGCGGACACCACAGTACTCTAGCCTAGGCAATAGAGTGAAACTTTTGTCTTAAAAAACCACAAAACTAAAAACAAACAAAAAACCATAATGTGATATTTCTGAAGATTCATCAGAATGGCTAAATTAAGAAAGAAAAAACAAATGCCAAGTGTTGCCAAGAATGTGAAGTAACTTAAACTCATATATGGCTGGAGGGAACATAAAACAGTACAATCACTTTGGAAAACTGTCTGAAAATATTTACAAAGCTTAATATAAAGACACCCAATTCCCATTCCTAGGTGAATAGAAAGCCATACGTATATGTTCACCTAGAGACATGTAGAGGTGCAGGTCTTTAAGTGAATATATATAAGCAATTTAAATACATAGACATAAGGCCAGGTACAATGGCTCACGCCTATAATCCTAACACTTTATGAGGCCAAAGTCAGAAGGAGCCCTTGAGGCCAGGAGTTTGAGACCATCTGGAGCAACATAGCTAAATCCCATGTCTGCATAAAATAATAAAAATTAGCCAGGTGTAATAGCATACACGTGTAGGGCCAGTTACTCTAGAGGCGGAGGCAGGAGGATGGCTTGAGCCCAGGAGTTTGAGGTTATAGTGAGTAATGATATTATTCTAGCCTGGGCAACAGACCCTGTCTCAAAAAGAAAAAAAAGGGGGCGGAGCAGTTATTATTTTTTTTAATGAGAGACAATTTCAAAGAATGTTTGAAAAGCATATTCCTTAGTAACCCAATCGCATGAATATTTAAATAAGGGACTGCTATAACCAGTAAACAAGTTAGGTCTGTTTGATTAATGAGAAAAGAATTAGCAAACAAGTATTCACTGAGTCTCTGCTATGTGCCATGAAGTACGTTAGCCCCAGTGGTAGACACAACAAGACCGACGAGGTTTACTCTTCTGCCTCATAGAGCTCACCGGTGAAAGTTTTAAGGAAGAAGAGAAGGAAAGAAGGAAGAGAGACAGGTGAAAAATGCTAAAATTGAGGAATAATACATTTTTCACGGCAGTATAAACTGAGGTTACTCTTTTGACAAGAAATTTGGCACTATATATCATGATCTTTAAAAATATCCATCTGCTCAATGAATTATTAAAAAATAGGATGCAAAGCATATACTAGTAGATGACAACTATGTAAAAAAAATTCTTGTACAAAGAAAGAAATGATAATATATATCAAAATGTGTTTTTTAAACTTAAATTTTCTAAAAGATCTTTAATGAAGTCATACTGTGAAAAAAATAAACTCAGCCTACTTTGCTACCCAATACCAAAATGCATGTTATTCCTTTCTTATTTTTCTATATAATTCATGGTTTTCTTCATGTTTGTTTTTAAAGGGAAGTCTGATGAAAAAGTGAATCCTTTTAAAAAATAAATCAATAGGTCTTTTTCATTATGACAACTTAATTGTTATCCCTACATAGGTATGAAAAACGTTTTGTGAGAGTTGGAATCCCACAAAGTAAACAGCTGACATTAGATTTTTCTTTAAGATGATTTTAAAACTGTCCATTTGCTCTTAGAGATTTGTTTGGTCATAAAATGCCTAGAGGTAGATAGACAGGAAACAGAAAGGCTTTTCAACAAATTTGCTCTAACACCAGTTTCTAATAAGTTTACTGCTTAAGCTCCATTATAAAATCAAAGATGCATTCACTTGAAAAGAAAAAAGGGCATCTTGATAAAATAAAATTAGACATAAAAAAGAAAAACTTTTGAATGCATTTCTAAACAAAATAAAAATTCACAATAATACTAAAAATGTGAGTACTACGAAGGCTAAAATGAAAATAAGCCATTGTGATTGTCTCGACTGAAGAAAGAACATCAAGGGAAAAAACCTTGAGGAAACTGCAACTAGACTGAGTAGACAGCAAAGAGAAGCCACGAAGGAGGAATCAGAGAGACAGACAGTAGGGGGAGCCTGGAGCCAGACAGACAGTAGGGGGAGCCTGGAGCCAGACAGACAGTAGGAGGAATCAGACAGACAGACAGTAGGGGAGCCTGGACCCAGACAGACAGTAGGAGGAATCAGACAGACAGACAGTAAGGGGAGCCTGGAGCCAGACAGACAGTAGGAGGAATCAGACAGACAGACAGTAGGGGAGCCTGGAGCCAGACAGACAGTAGGAGGAATCAGACAGACAGTAAGGGGAGCCTGGAGCCAGACAGACAGTAGGAGGAATCAGAGAGACAGACAGTAAGGGGAGCCTG